CTTTGTTGAGACATCACAGAAATGGAGGGACTGATGATAATCAAGGATGATACGACTCAGTAGAGTAAAAGGTCAATTTTCTCCCAAATGTTTTGTAGATTGAAGTCAACTCCAACCATAACCCGGACTGGATTTTTCATGGTGCTTGATGAGGTAATTTGAAAGTTTCTCTAAATAGTAAAGGAAAACTGAGAACAAAGGGCTAGTGATAAAGAACCAGGGCTCTCCCTCAGATCACCACAAAATCCATTCCTAGCGGATTAAGAACTTGCACATGAAAGGCAAGAATAGAAAACCTCTGGTAGGAAATGAGACGTGTATTATGACCTCTTGGTTGGACAGTATTCTTAACTGGAGAAGACATACAAAGCATGAACCATAAAGCAAAAGACTAGAAGATCCAAGAATACGGAAGTGAAAAGCATCTGCACTTTAAAATACACCACAGGCTGGTGTGCAGCACGCAGCCCTGGGTTCCATCCCCAGCAACACGAGGAAGCATAAACAGAAAAACCTACCATCAACACCACAACTGACAGCAAGATTCATATCCAGAATATGTAAAGAACTCTTACGAATTTAAAGAAAAGTGGACAAAAGACATTTCACAAGAAAATAAATAGCGGATATAATGCTGAAGCTTCCTAATTTTGAAAATGCAAATTTAAATCACAATTTTTCGACTGTTTCAACTTCCACCAGATGGGCAGAATGGAAATGGCATTTCAAAGCCAGTGAGAATAAGATATGATAGGAATCCCCAGGCCCTGCTGGGGACGGTGCTGACTGGTATCCCCACTTCAGAAACACTTTGTCATTACCAGGTGACGGTGAGCACACCACCTCTCCTACAACCCGGCACTCCTGGGTCTATACCCATGTCAGTATCTAGGGATTTTTATATACGCGCAAGAATTTTCACAACAGCATTGTCTTGAAGTAAAAGAAAGAAAGAACACAAACACCCACCAACAGTAGAAGGAAAAAATGTGTTATAGTCATAAAACAGAAAACTATGAAGTGGTGAAAGTCATGAAAATGAATGAACTACAACTGTACTACGCCAACACAGACACTCAGGCGCATGATGTCAGGTGGGAAAAGCAAACTCAAGAACATGCACGATAAGACTCCATTCATAAATAGTTCAACAGGCAAAAACTAAACAATGTTACTTAGGAATATGTACAGAGGAAATAAAAATACAAAGAAAGCAAACGGCTGATGAGCTCTGTTTCTGAATTTTCTATTAATCTGCAAGAGGAAGGCAGGGACTGTGGCGGGGAGGCATAATGGGCTCTGAAGGCTCTGGCCGGGCTCTTTGTGTGCTGGATACTGGGAACTGTGTTGACTAGCACTCCACCCATTATGTGAGTTTTATTTACTATTATGTATAATACAGAGTAACAAAAAAACCTAGGCACTATTTAAAAAGAAGGGAAAAAAACTAGCATTTGGCACAATATAACATTTACTCATAATAAAAACTGTTGGCTAGCCACAAGCAGAAGGACATGCCTTTAAACTAAGAGAATCTTCAAATGTCTATGGGAAAAAAATCAACCTTAATGTGGAAACTCTAGAAATATATGTCATCCATAGATGAGGATACTATCATTCGACTATTCTTCAATGTCCTAGCCAGACTATTACACAAACAAAAAACAAAAACAAAATCAAAATCAGAGATGACAGGTGCGCCACTGTGGAGGATGTAATTGTATATGTAACAAATCCAAGAGCCTCTAAATAGATATTTCTCTCTGCCTAATAAGAGAACACATTTTCTTTCACTAAACCCAAGCCAATAGCATACCTGATCCAGTAACAACCATAAGACATATAATAAATTCTACAAATCTGACTTAGGAGAGAAACTGTAACTATCAGGAGAAATTGTAAAACCTTATTCAACCACAAAGAGAAATCTTTGGTAAGTGTTTCCATGAAGAGCAAGGCTCAATATTTTTTTTAAATATTTTTATTAGTTGTTAATGGACCTTTACTGTATTTACTTACTTATATGTGGTGCTAAGAATCAAACCCATGCTAGACATGCGCCACAACCCCAGCCCAAAGCTCAAAATTTTAATGGTAGCAATTCCCTAACATTAAATTGCAAATGTAATTCCAACAGGATTTTCTTGAGAACTTGACATGAATATTCTGAAATTCATACAGAAGAGCAAAAATCTAAGAATAACCAAGAAAGACCTTGAAGAATAAGCAGGGAATGCTTGGTTTGCTAGATTGTGAGGCATATTATGAAGCTGAGAGAGTGTCCTAGACCAACAGAAACCACAGAGCCCAGGAACAGCCTCAAGCACACATGAAACCCTGGCTCAAGACAGAAGCTTGTGCTACAAACCAATGGAGAAAGGACAAGACACTTGGCAAATTGCTGGAAAAGTCGGCATCTTTGTGGGGGAAAACATGTAAATTTTCCCTTGTAGCCTATACAAATATTAATTCTAGAATGGACTGAAGAATTAAATTTGGAAAGCAAGACTTTAAAAGTTTTATAAGAAAATATAACAGAACACCTTTCTGACCTTGGATGAGGAAGGGCAAGGATAGCCACAAAGAAAAAGCACAGGTCATAAAGGAACAGACTGGCAGGTATGCCTACCAAAAATCAACACGTCCACAGAAGAACTGCAGAGCTCAAAGATCTGCCAGATTAGGGGCAGATGAATGTAATGCGCATAGTGGATGAGGATCAGCACCTAGAACACAAACAAGGATGTCCAGAATCAATACAAAAGAGAAAAAGGACTGGGTAGAAAAAACAGGAAAAAAACCAATTCACAGAAGAAACCACATCACCTTGTGAAGAGGATGCCCGACTTCATTAACAGTCGGGAAAATACAAATTAAACCAAGAAACCACTGTGCCTCCATCCAACTGGTAAAAAATGATGTAAAGTGGGCAAAGATGTGAGAAAACAAGTGCTTCATAGCTGCTCAAAAAGAATCTGTGGTAACCATCAGGAAAGTGGCGTGGCAATGGCAGAGAGGATAGTGTGCCTGAGCACTCCTGGGCTCATCCCTAGCACTAAAAACAAAAAACAAGAATCATTCTCAGCTTGTGGGCCATAGGAACAACTGGCCTAGGTTTCACCCAAGAGCCACAGTTTGCCAATCTCTGGCCTAGTGAGGTGATGCCAGGGATTGCTGGGCAATGCTGGGTGCTCACTTGACATTGCTGGTTGGGAGAATCAGGTGAGACCAGTAGCAGGCTTGCAGACAGGTACCTGGGCGCAGATGCACAACAGGCAGGCAGATTTCCCCAGAACTGTGCTTCTGCCAGATGGGTACAGTGAACAGAGACTTGAGGCTGTACGAAGGGGACCACTGCAGATGGCCACAGAGGGAAGGGAGGATGGGCCAGGATGGAGAGAAGGTGGGAGGGTTCAGGGCTCACAGCTTCCTGAGGTTAAGGGCCCAGGGCACTCAGGCTCTAGAGAGAGAGAACTGGAAAGATGGATGGCAGGGGGTGGTTAGGAGGGGTGCTGTAACTGTCATCGACAGTCAAAGGTTGACCATGTGGGGCAGAGAAGAGCCAAGGACCCTCCATGTGGATGCTGCCATCGCCAAGAGTGAAGGCAGAAAAAGTGACAAGGTGGAAAGGGGGATCCCCAGAGATCTGAGGGACCTGAGCACCTGGGGCAGGGTTTACAGAACAGGGAAGGGAAGCCAGCAGAGGGGCAAAACTGAGGAGCAGGATACCTCCTCCTGCAAGCCCAGTGTCAGAGGGACATGGGGAAGAGGACAAGAGAACTGCAGAGAAGCAAGAACAGGCAAGAACACTCAGGATCCAGCAGGACTTGCTAAGCACTGTGGAGGAATTCATAGAAGACAAAGAAAAAGGGACATGAAGCCTGACAGGCAGGGACAAGCCGGATGAGGGTGGGGGGCAGTAGGGGTCCTCCCTAGTGCTTGCACTGAAGGGCCACATGGGACTCCTATCAGACAATGGGAGTCTGAGTGCTGGAGGGGTTTTGATGGCAACTGGGGTCCCTCCGGGCTCTCATTCACTCTTAATTAATGATGGTGTGGGAGCTTGGGAAGCCCTGCAAGTGTTACAGATAAAATAAAACCAGCACAGGAACCCCCTACCCAGATGTGGAAGCTGGAGGCTGCCTGTGACCTGTAGTTGTTCCCTGTGGACAGTGCTCTGCTCCTGGTCACCTTTCTATACTTCAACCATCAGCACAGTCCTCAGCACCTAGAAGACTTTCAAAATATATTGCTAAACTAAACCACTGAGTGCATTAGCAGAAGCTGGTCACAAGGTCAGTTCTGTATGTGCTTTTGCCTTTGATAAAATGAAAATCTAACTGAGATGAAGCAACAAACACATAAGACACAAATAGTGCACATGAGTTGGCCACAGGAAGACTTCTGAGTCACACAGTGTTGAAGGAAGGGAACCCTGGGACAGTCAAGGTAGGAAGTAGGGATGGAACAGAGACAGGGTCTTCCTGGCCAGAGAACCCAGCAAGGTCTTCCCCTTAGGAATATGGTTTTTCTCATATGTCCCCTGTCCTTTTCTGAACTTTCAAATGTGCTGACTGGCTCCAGGGATATCTGAGACACTGATATCTAGCATTCACATGCACCTTAAATAAATTCATGAATTTTATAACATTGGACCACTCAGCTTGCCAACAGAATTCCGTTGTCCAGCTGGGAATAGACTTAAAGGCAGCCAGTGGATGTTGCAAAGCTCTGGATGAATTCTGTGTTCAACAGATTCTTCCTTTCTCTGCCCAAATCCTCTACTCTCTTCCCATCATTCCCTGTGGCTGGCTGGCTGGCTGGTCTGCCCGTTTCTATGTGGAAGGCACTAGCTTCCAGAGTGCCAGCTGAGTAGGTTAGAGGTTATAGATCGACTACAGAAGGCAGATTTCACACACCCATCTCATGTTTCTCCCATCTCTCTGGAAACAAGCAATTAGCATCCCTAGCCCGCTACTTTTCTGCTTTCATCCAATCACCTGGTGTCTCCCTGGCCTTCTCCCACCCTTCACCTGGACTGGGGTCCACAGGAACGTCTGGAACCTTGGGGCCAGCACGACGCCAGGTGCAGGGCTCCTTGCCTTGTTCAATCTGGGAGAGGACTTCAGGCTTGGAGATGGCATAGTCTGAGGAAAGACAGGAAGGTTAGCTTTGGCCATGTTCCCATCAGAGCAAGGGAAAGGCAGCTGGAAAATCAAGAAAGTCTGGAAATTAAATGTCTGGGTTGGTACAGAGCAATGGTTCTCAAAGGTGGGCAACTTTGCTAGAAAGCTTAATCATCTTGTATAGTCTAGGAGAGGTACTGCTGGCACAGGGCAGGACTGGTTTGAACATTTGACAGCACAAAGGACAGCCCCAGCCAACAAAGAGTTACCTGGCCCTGTGTCAGCAGTGCTGGGCATAAAGCCTCCACAGGAGCCAACAGCTCACGTCTGCACTCTAGAGCGCAACAGCACGCCTGTGCCCATTCCCTTCCTCACCAAGGACACCTCATCGCCCTTTATTCTGAGGTCATAGAGAGCTCATCTTGAGCTGGAAATGGGCCCAGGAGGCAGAATCCAGGCCCTTCCCAGGCAGTGACCCTTAAGTCTGGGACAGCAAGGCTTTGGGCAGGGGAAAATGCTTGCTGTAGGAAGCAAGATCTGTCCTATTCTCTATGGACCCTGAAGAATTATCACATAAAGGCCAAAAGCTCTGCAAGAGAAGGTAAAGCAAGTCCTTCTTCAATATGTGGTCAATTAGAGACTGGACCTTATAGCAGAGCAGTTCCTGCAATCTACATCTCAGCAGTTATGTCCACAGTCTAGGCCCTGTTAGGAAAGGGACCTTCATCTTCCTCACTCTGCCACTCCACCAGGCAGAAGGGGGAGTCTGACTATCACTAGCATCATCTTTAGGAGGAGGAAGACAACTCCCTTGCTCAAAGTATCTAGGGGTTTACATGTCACTGAGATGAAAACAACCAGCAGAAAGAGACTGGGGACTTATAAAATCCACTTGACAGAGAAGGGAGTGCCAGGCCTTACCCAGGGAGACCAGTGTCTCATAGTTGCCCCTCATCACATGCTTGTAGAGCTCCTTCTGCCAGTCCTCCAGCTTGCCCCACTCCTGCTCAGAAAAATACACGGCCACATCATCAAAGGTCACGGGCACCTGGAACCACAAGTGTCACACTCGCTCACCCACACACTTACAGGCACAGCCCCGAGGGCTCCCAACTCCAGGGCACCCAAAGGCTACCTTGGGGACCTCCCCCTTGCTGCCAGGGGGCAGCCGAAGGATCCAGAAGTTCCTGTTGCGCAGCAGGTTCTCCACGTTCTCTAGCCGCCGCTGCAGCAGCCCGTACTCCTGCAGCAGGGTCCCCAGCACGGCCCACTTGCCCTCCAGCTGGTTGCCGAACTCCACGGCCGTCTTCTCACAATCAGCCAGCTTCTTCTCAGCCATCCCTGTTCGACCTTCTAGGGAAAGCAAGCGGGCAGCCTGCGATTCGATCTTCCTCTCCATGGCCTGAATTGTAGCTGCCATTGTCCATGGAGAAATCTTTCAAAAATGAGAAACTAGCGTCACTCATTGCATTCACTGTATCTGTGACCCCATCTCCCTAGGCATGGGAGAGGCAGGCTGAGAGCAGGGAGCCCATGTCTGTGGGAAGTGGGAATCTCCTGTCTCATGTGCCAGATCTCAACCTGGAGATCACCTCCTTTGGGAATCTCAGATCTGGCCCGTGGCTGTGGTGCCTTGCTTCCAGCTTCTAGAGCACACGGCAGAATCCCATTTGAGGCTCACCACCCTATCTGGCCATTTCCTGCAGGGCCGACACCATGAGGCCTTGGAGGCGCACTGCAGCTTTTCACAGCACAGTGCTCGACACACAGCAGGCGCTTAGTGTGATTTTGCAAAGTAAACAGTGACTTAGCATTGCTGGGGTGTTTTAGTGGAGAAATGGTAAACTGCAGATTTACTAGAGCCCAGCCTGCACTCCCGGCACCCACAGGAACTGTACTGCCGATGACCCAGCAAAAAACCCCCAGCTGTTCCACTGAAACCACACAAACAAGAGTGTTGCTCAATTTTTTTTTTTAAAGCACCTCCTGTCCTCTTTTAACAAGACAGAAAAGTCTAATGGCCAATTCCCCTCTCTCCAAGACAATCTGATCTTGTCCCTCACTCCTTGCAAGCTAGGATTACCATTACTGCAACTTCATTAAGCTAGTTGGATTTTTTTCACACTACCTGAGCCTCCTGAGATTCTCTTTCTCTCCTGGCTCCTACCTTTCCCAATGTAAAAATGATAGACTCAAGACCTTTTTGTAGCTGTAAGAAATGAGTGACATGCCCTTGAGTCTGTTGAGGAAGATAGACACCGAGCAGAATATAGAAGATAGCAGAAGATAGAGCACACATCTGGACTTAGTCATACTTTTAAATGTGCAGCAAAAGTCAAAAGATATGGAGCTTCCCTGTCAATGGAAATAGCCACACAGAGGCTTGACGGACTAGCAAATGGGGACCATGAAGGAAGCACACATTTGTGGATTATCTGCCCACTACAGTCTGAGGCAGGGAGGAGTCATGTTATGGGAGGCTTTTTCTGGTGACAGTAGATGGATGGATGACTTTCTGGAAAAGCATTCCTAAGCAAAATGTTGGCAACTACTTGCAAAATAAAGTGACTTCTAGGAACCATATGTGGATTAATTTGGAGTGTGTTCTTGAGAATCAGAACATGGAAGGACACCTCAGAAAAAGGGACAAAAGGAGAGTGCTACAGGAGGCAAAAAAAAAACCTCCGCCTAGATGGTACTTAAAAAAAAAAAAGTTCTCTGGCTGTCTGAAAGGATGGGCAAACGGATGTTTGACAGGGAAAGACTGCCGTGGGAGGGGCCCTGCTCTCAAGGAGTGTGTGGTGCAGTCCTGCTGGTGCTTTGGGGGTTGGCTGGGCTCTGAGCTTGGTAATCCTCCCTTCACCTCCAACTCCTCCTTGGGATCAACCTTGCCATATATCCCAGACTTAACAATCTACTCCAAAATTGTCCTTGCCCCTCACCACCTGCTCTCCGTCCCCTGAAATCCCATTATGTTCTAAATGCACTGTTAGAATCTTCCTGTTGCATGAAAAGGGCACCTGTGCAAACTCCAACATCATTAAGAAGACATTCCTCTTTGATAGTTGAACAATGGTGCAGTCTTCTTATCATTTTCATGTGGCTTGGGAGCCCCACCTGAGGCCTTCAGAGT